TGAGTGCTTTACAGAATGTACTTTACAGCAGAAACAACACAAGTTTCCCACAGCCTGGTTTTTGTCCTTGTCCTTACTGCTGCGACATCTCTGTGAACCTGTGTCACAGAGACGAATTTTATGTACAGCCGCGATAATTATCGTGGGAAGATTAAATGCTCCGACCTCTTGATGGTCTCGGTTCTTCTTTGTAAACTAAACGCAAAATTCCCTTTTAGATACCTAACGTGAAATTAAGGTGTTTCTCTCGTGAATGGCACGAAGCCGATGTCTGCTGCCTCATTTACTGCAAAGGATAATTTATTTCTCAGCCAAGAACGAGAGGCTAAAGATGCCACAGGGAATGGAGTGCTCATTTTCGTATTAAGTTGTGTTATTTATGTCTCAAGATAAAAGACGCCCTGGATTGGAAAACTACCTCGGCATATTTATGGAATTGTTAACCCACGTTAATAAAATAACAATCACGCCTGTTTGCTTAACTGAGTGCCACGCAAAACAGACCTTGCATTTAGAGCTCGGCTTAATTGCACAGGCTTGAGATGGCAGTGGTGCTGGTGCAAGAACGAGAGGGAGGGAGGGAAGAAGGGATTGCTGTCACCCATGTCCAGCGGCTGCAAACAGAGAGGAGACTTTCGGCACAACAGATTTTTCTACTGGTGAAGCACAGATTTGATGCGATCAACTTCCCTCCCTGCCCCTCAAAAGGATGTCAGCGGTTTTCTCCTGCGGTGTCGCCTGCTGTTTAAAGAACATGGAAAGCTGCATCCTGAGATGCGAAGAGACGGGCTGGGTGGCTGGTTTTTGGAGTTACAGGGACACTGCTATGATGTTGAAGCCAAAAGAAAGGGAGAGAAGCGAAGCTCTGACTACGACTTAACATAAACAGCCCGGGGCTGGAAAGCAGTTCACCTCCAGGTCTTTGAGAGGAGCGAGGAGGACAACGCACAGCGAATTGTTTGGGTCCACCTGGGCTTTGCCCAGGTCAAATACCAGTCCCGCCGCCTACCGCTCCGATGTCATCTTTCTTTCTGACATCTTCCTAAATAAGGTTGCAAATGACCACACACACGAATCCTCGGAGGGTTTCAAGACAAACGCGGCTCCCCTGGCCTGGCTCTGCCCATCGGGGCTCCCGCCCCGCCGCCGGCGTCCCTCGCCCGGCTTGGGGAGGAGGCGGCAGCGGCCGTGCCCGCCGCCCGGGGGCCTGCGGGAGAGGGGCCCAGGGAGGCCGAGGCTGCTGCTGCCGTCCTGCTCCGCTCCTGCGGCAGAGCCAGGCGGGACACCCTCAGGCGGCTGTCCCGCACGGAGGCCAGGCTGGCTAAGGCGGCAGAGGTAGGGCGCCTGGGAGAGGCAGCCCTGCCGTGCGACCGGGTGGGTGAAGACCAAGCGCCAAGGACTCTTTCTGGGTGGTATCCAAAGATAGCAGGGGGAAAACTGATCTTCCTGCCTCCCTAAACACGTTGCTTTCCCTCAACACGCACACACACACACAAGCCCCAAATTCCACTATGAACCTTCACAATGGTGACTTTTGTGCCTCCAGCAGAGAAACCAAAGTCCTGCTGGGTTGAGGTCTGTAACTTAACACACGTTGGTTGCGTCAGTTCGCAATTATAGTATCAGAGTTGCTGTTGCAAAATATATTAGATGCAAAATACTTCGGATTAATGCCCCCCCTTCCCCTCCTTCTCTGTACTGAAACTTCTCGGTGTTACTCCAACCTTTGCCTGTGAAACAGCTTCGCTACCGCCAACATTGTCCAGATAAAATGAAAAAGCCACTGAAGGCTCCGGGTCTCGGAGCGGCACGTTACGGGCGCTCAAGGGAGCGAGCGGGAAGCCCACGGAAATTGTTTTTAACGGCAGGTAATACCGTGGGAAAACCGGATGACCCGGGCGGCATGGAAACGTGCTAAAATGCCCTTTTTCTTTCTCTTTTTCAATTTTTTCCCCTCCTCAGCAAAACAAGAAAGAGGTTTTGAAAATATAAAGTGTTGGAATTGACATCTAGTCCAGTGCTTGCACATTTATTAATTCTGCCGTGGTGGGAGGAAAGGGAAAAAAGTGTAATTAGGCAGGAGCAGGTGAAAGATTCCAGACGATGAAATACAACAGGCTAAACGGGATAATGTATTCACCATTAAAAAACTGACATTTACTACCAAAAGGAGACCCGTTACGTTTGAATATGAAAAGGAGCAGATATTAAGCTACATAAATTACCTTCTTCACATGATTTGAATCTCATTTCAAATACTTTTTTTTTTTTTAATAACCAACAGATCGGTGTTTGAGAGGAAAAGCCATTCCTGCTAAAAAACCACCGAGCAGAGGATACGCCTATAGCACGCTCCAAAGGCATGATCCCCAAAGCAATCGATCACAGTAAAAAGTGTGGAAAGGGGGTTTCAGATCAGTGAAGCCAAAAGGGTCTTTTAACGTATTTTTAGTGTCACAGGATCAGGATGGGTAATTCATCTCACAAGCGCACCACACACACGTCTTTCCCGTACAAATTCCACCCCTTAAAATGATTTCAGTGTAATCCTTTTAGCTGATCTGTTATTAACGCTAATGAAGTTTCAGAGGTATGGGGCTACAAAGCGAATGAAGAGTACTGGGTTGTATTTCGTATACCTGAAGTATTGGTAAAATGGACTACTGTGAAACAATGTATACTAATTTCACCCGTGTTTAAAGTACGAAAAGAAAATCTTCATTCATCAAATGTAAGAGACAATTGAAATTAAAATTTAAAAAATAAATAACCAAGCCTTCACTCTCGGTTCCCTTTGAGTTCCCGTTAAAGTCTTATTCTGATTAGAACCCAAATGTTATTCCAGATAGTTAGACAAAGGCAAATCAAATCTTCACAGCAGAACCGGCCAAGCAGTTAAGGGATTTTGTTCTTCTTTTCCTCCCCCCCTTTTTTTTTCCTTTGACACACCTGACATACCACGGAATCCACTCTGAAGCAGACTAGAAACAAAATTGTGCCCTCTCCGTCTCAAAAGGGTAAAGAGATAAAGCAAGGATCCCCTCTCCGTATCACATCCCACATCACGCAAAGATTACCTGAAGGGGCGAGCTACAGACCCCGTTCAGAGAAACACGCCCGTGTTTACAAACAGCAGAGAGAGCGGGCGCTTCTTTTTGCAGACAGAGGGAGGAAAGCCCTTGGTGGCTGATTAATAAAAAGGAGCTTTGGAGGACTCGTCAAACCCTTGTCAACCGGAGGAATGCAATCTCTTCAGAAGCGTTTGGTCAGGCAGGCAGCTGGCTGCAGGCAGGGTGGTGCAGGGGCACCCCACCACACACACACACACACAGACACACACAGACGCACACACACACACACACACATATACAGACACGCACTTTTCTCGCCGTCCCCCTGCGGGCGTGGGGGGTGGGAGGCAGCTGGGGTGAGCTTCTGGCCGGGGCGGACAGGCACGGAGCCGGCACACCGGCACGGAGCCGGCACACCGGCACGGAGCCGGCACACCGGCACGGAGCCGGCCCGCCGACAGGAGCGGCAGCCTGAAGGGAATGGGAGGAGAGAGCCCGACTGGAACGTGTGGAGAAAATAGACCGAGGAGCTTACACACACAACAACAACAACAACAAAGAAAATAATAATAATAATAAAAAATAATAATAATAGAAGTAACATTCGTGGAGAAAACGCGCGTGGCAGAGCGCGGGGTGCGCGCGTGGGTGGAAGGAGCTCTGGGGGAAGCTCCATGCACACACATACATGTATACACCACAAATATATATATATACATATATATATATACACATATATATTGGTAAGGGCATGCACATGGTGCGTGTGCCCGGGGTGCGTGCGTAAGGACGCGCGTAAGGACACGGGTGTGAGGGCGAGCGAGCGAGGTGTAGGGCAGTGGGGCTCGGGCGGGGTCGTCGCGCAAAATGCGCGGGCGCTGGAGGCTCTCCGCGGGTGCGCAGCGGCCTGAGAGAACGCGGGGCTCCGCGGCGCTCAGGGCGTCCGCGTGTGCCGTCGAGTGTGTGTGGCCGGTCCCCGAGCGCTACAACTCCCGGAGCTGCTGTGGGGATTTTTTTTTTTCTTTCTTTCTATTTTTTTTTTCTTCTCCTGGATCTCTCCTTTTTTATTTTTTTTTCCCTCCTCATTCAGAGCCCGGGGTGTCTCCCGGCTCTCATTGGCCGGCCCAGCTCGGCGGGGCGGAGCTGAGCCGCCTGCAAAAGGAGGAAAAGAAAAAAAAAGAGAGGAAAAAAAAAAAAAAAAAAGGAGACCGAGAGAGGAGAGGGAGGGAAAAAAAAAGGAGAAAACTGTAAGTGCGTAAAAAAGTTCTCGCCGTGGTGACGGATGCTCAAAAGTTCAGGAGTTTTTCCGATGCTTCCCAAAGCAGCCTGCGACTGAAAAAGAGACTGAAAAAAAGCGAGAGGGAGAGAGAGAGGGAAACTTTGCACTGGGAGATCGGGAAGGTGGATTTTTTTCTTCTTCTGCTCGCTTAAAAAAGCCAACAAAACACATCCCTCTACTTTTGTCCCTCCTTTGCAGACAACTTGTTGCAGATCCCCGTGGAACAAGGAACTGGGAGCGTGGGAGCCTCTTTGCAAAGGTTTTATTTTCTTAATACTCTTTCTGCGTTTGGAAGTTGCTTTCTCCGCTGCGATTACTTTTTTTTTTTCCTCCGCCGTTTTCTTTTTTAAAACATTTTCCCCCTTTTTTGTCCCCCCTCCTTTTTCCCCCCCTTTTTTGATTTTTTTTTTCCCCCTCCGCGTGGAGCGCGGGAGCTCGCCGGTGGGCTTTCCCGGGCGAAGAAGAGGAGGCTTTCGGCGCTGCCGTCGTTATTCTTCCTCCCTTTTTCCGCGCTCCGCCGGGGGGGTGGGGGGGTGGGGGTTGCCCGGCCGCCCGGTCCAGCTCGGTCCGCGGAGCGGCGGAGGGGTGGAGGGGGAAGGGACGCGCTGTTTGGTCCGGCGGGGAGGGTGGGGGAAAGCTGACGGGAGGACATGCAGGCTCGCTACTCCGTGTCCAGTCCCAACTCCCTAGGAGTGGTGCCGTACCTCGGCGGAGAGCAGAGCTACTACCGTGCCGCTGCGGCGGCGGCCGGCGGGGGCTACACGGCCATGCCGGCCCCGATGAGCATGTACTCCCACCCGGCCCACGAGCAGTACCCGGCCGGCATGGCCCGAGCCTACGGGCCCTACACGCCACCGCCGCAGCCCAAGGATATGGTGAAGCCGCCCTACAGCTACATCGCCCTCATCACCATGGCCATCCAGAACGCTCCCGATAAGAAGATCACCTTGAACGGGATCTACCAGTTCATCATGGAGCGGTTCCCTTTCTACCGGGACAACAAGCAGGGCTGGCAGAACAGCATCCGCCACAACCTCTCCCTCAACGAGTGCTTCGTCAAGGTGCCCCGCGACGACAAGAAGCCCGGCAAGGGCAGCTACTGGACCCTCGACCCCGACTCCTACAACATGTTCGAGAACGGCAGCTTCCTCCGCCGCCGCCGCCGCTTCAAAAAGAAGGACGCCGTCAAGGACAAGGAGGAGAAGGACCGCCTGCACCTCAAGGACCATGCCCCGCCGCGCCCGCCGCCGCCCGCCGCCGCCGCCGAGCCCGAGGGCGGCCCCGCCGGGGGCAGCGCCGCGCCGCCGCCGCCGCCCGTCCGCATCCAGGACATCAAGACGGAGAACGGCACGGCCTCGCCGCCGCAGGCCGTGTCCCCCCCGGGCGCCGCGCCGCCGCTCGGCGCCGTGCCCAAGATCGAGAGCCCCGACAGCAGCAGCAGCCTCTCCAGCGGCGGCAGCCCCCGCAGCACCCTCCCCTCCAGCCGCTCCCTCAGCCTGGAGGCCCCCGAGCCCCCGCCGCCCCCGCCGCCGCCCCCGCCGCCGCCCCACCACCACGGCCCGGGCTTCAGCGTGGACAACATCATGACCTCGCTGCGGGGCTCGCCGCAGGCCGCCGCCGAGCTGGGCGCCGGCCTCCTGGCCCCCGCCGCCGCCGCCCCGCGCACCGGCATCCCGCCCGCCCTGTCCCTCGGGGGATACTCGCCGGGACACAGCTCCGTCTACGGCTCGCCCTGCGGCCAGGCGGCCGCCGGCGCCGCCGCCGGCACCTACCACTGCAACATGCAGGCCATGAGCCTGTACGCGGCGGCGGGCGGCGCCGACCGGCCCGGCCACCTGCCCTCCGCGGCCGCCAGCCCCGCCGAGGACCCGCTGCCCGAGTACGCGATGCCCTCGGGCGGCGGCGGCGGCGGCGGCGGCGGTGGCGGGGCGGGGGGCGGCGGCGGCGGGGCGCTGGGGCACGGCGGGCTGGGCGGCGCGGCGGGCGGCCACCAGGAGGGGCACCACCCGCACCCGCACCAGGGCCGCCTGGCCTCCTGGTACCTCAACCAGGCGGCGGCGGCCGCGGCGGCGGCGGCGGCGGCGGCGGGGGAGCTGGGCCCGCTGGCGGGCGCGGCGGGCTACGCGGGGCCGCAGCAGGGCTTCGCCGCCGCCCCGAGAGAGGTGTTCGAGGCGCCGCGGCTCGGGCTGAGCGCCTCGCCGGGCGGCGGCGGCGGCGGCGGAGGAGGCAGCGGGGCAGGGGGCGGCGGCGGCAGCGGCGGGGCGGGGGGCGGCGGGAGCTGTCAGATGGCCTTCCCCGGCAGCCAGCCGCTCTACCGCACCTCCGGGGCCTTCGTCTACGACTGCGGCAAGTTCTGAGCGCGCCCCGTCGCGGGGACACCGCAGGAACTCAGCTCCGCACCGCGCCGCCGGCCCTCGCAGCGCCCGCGGAGGGAAGCGAGCGCATCGCGAAAAGCTTTTGTACAGAGACAGCCCCAAAGCATGTCTTGGTTTGTTAAAGGACAGTGTTACTCCAATAACACGTAAGTTTTTTTTTTTCTAATTGCTTTGAGAAATACTTTTTTTTCCCGCCCCCCCACCCCGCGCTTTTCCTGGTCCCTTAAGGTATTGTCATGCCCCGTGTTTAAAAGGGGGCGAAAAGTCCAGCATAGAGTACCAGCTTCTTTCCCCCTCCCCTTCCTCTTCTACAAGGACTTGTTTTAAAATGTAAATTGCGACATAGTAATTTATTTTTAATTTGTAGTTGGATGTTGCGGACCAAACGCCAGAAAGTGTTTCCCCCTTTCCTGAAAAGTGACGTTATAATTGACTGAAACGCTGATTTTTTTTCACTATATATAAAAAGGGAAACTGTATTAATCTTATTCTATCAATATTTTTCTTTTTTTTTTTGTTGAAAATATTCTGAAGGTATTGCATTGTTTGTTTATTAATAAATTACCATTCAGTTGGAATGATCATTTACACGTCTGTATATTTTAATGCTTTCATTTAGAGAGAGAGAGAGAGAAAGAAAGAGAGGGAAAAGGGATTTCATAACTAACTTTGTCGCTGGAACAGCTTGTTCCCCTCCGCACAAATTCCAAAGACCATTTAGGAACTGCCAGGTCGAAAAATCCCTTTTCAGTCTCTTCTGCAATATGTTCCACTTAGTCAGCTCGCCTTATCCGCTAGGAAAAAAATACTTTCCCATGGCAGCTCTGAGTTGGCAAATAAACAAACACGTTTTCTTAGCAATTAATGGCAAGACCTGGAAACATTAGACCATACACAGTAGTATGGCGACATTACGTTGTTTTAAATGATATGCCTATGTAAGGATATATTAAGTGATAACTCCGAGGTAGAAGTGCATGCACTAGATTCCAGACCATGTGTAACTGTATATGCCGAGCTATCGATTGCTCTGTGTGTGTTTCAAATGTATTTATATCTAGGATTTACATATGTACCTATATTTAAAGAAGGATTACGTATTTATTTATAGTTTCATATACGTATTGCATATTTTTCTAAACTCCAGTGTATAGCAGATGCCAAATAATCTGTAGTACGTGTACTCTTAAATATAATGCCAGCATATAAATTACTGCTTCTTAGAAGTGATAGCAAAGCGTGCAATCACATCAGTGAAGCCGCTTCTGTAACATATAAAGTACTATTTTATTTCGAGGGAGGGGGAAAGAGCAGTAGTGTTAAAGGGTACTTGTGCAGTCTACCCTTACACCTTTACAGCTCTGCATTACTCCCGTCCTTCAGGGACTTCACTACTGGTCTGTGTCTCAATTGCTCGGACAGATTATTTTTAAAACATTTTGTGTGGGCGAATTTTTCTTATATAGTTGCTTGGGTGCTGTTTTGGTTTGGTTTTTCTTTCTTTTTTTCTTTTTTCCTTTTTTTTTTTTTTTTTCCCTCTCCTTACCTCTCTCGGTTGTCCTCAAATCGGAAAAAAAAATATATATTACCACGGCAGCAAATGAGTGCTGCACAGACTGGCATCTTGTCAGATCAAGAATCCTACCTTCTGGACAATTTACTATTAAGAACCTACTGTCAATGGGGATCACCTTCCCCTTTTGTAAGTAACCACCAAAATGCAATAAATCCATTAACTTAAAAGAACCGGCCTTGTCAGTCAGACTTGGAAATAAGTTTATTTGATTACAGATATTTAAGGCCTAAAATCTGCTTTCAAGATAATACAGTTTCCTATCAGAATCTCTTATCTAAAGGCAACACTTAGCAGTAATTGCTGTTGCATTGTTAAGGGTTAGGCTGTAAATAAATACAAAGGTATTTACAGTTCAACCTTATTACCTCGCTTTTGAGCTGTGCTTCCTTCCAAAGCAATAGTCCCATGTTTAGAAAACACCTCCAGCAGATGGAATTAACTGGGGGGAGTGTGTCATCTTAGAACGCGTTGGCTTTGAATACGTTTATTTAAGTATGGCATAGTCTTTGCTTTTTTGTGCTAGTATCTCTACGAAGATTACCGGGTGTCTTATTTACATTTATTTGTTTGCTAAGTTGGGTAAGAGAACCTTAAACGCTCCATCGCTCAGTTGTGGTAAAGCTGATGAGGAGGACGAGCAAAGTTGAGCGCCTTCGCTCCGGGGACATATTTTAATTTCTGCTCCCCGTTTTTCACCAGTAAAGGGCAATAAAATGTTACCTATTCTCGGTCGGGCTCACTTTCTGCTCCCCACCGTCCCTCTCCCGGTACCGAGAGGGGGGAAGCTGAAACTGGCGGCTCCCGCCCACCGCCGCCTCCTTGGGAGCGGGGCTGCCGGGCCGGAGGCTCGGCGGGGCTTTCACTGCCTTACGCCCCCGCTCCCCCTCGCTGGAGAGGGGACCCTCGGCGGGGCAGCTCCCTCTGCCTTGGCAGATGGGTTTGCCAGCGGGGTGGCTGCATAATAAGCACCATTCCTGCTCCCCATCACGTATTAAAAATAAAATTTAAAGAAGGCAGAGGGTAGAGGCGATTGAGTCTGCTATTTGCCTGTTATTTTTGTTGCGATCAGGCGCCGGCTTTCCTGTAGTTTGGGTTTTCTCAGCGGTCTGCAGCGGTAGGGTGTTTGTGGCGAAAATAAATAGGGGGGAGCGCAGTTGTCAGCCCGACTTGTTTAATAACCCGTTGCATTGTCAGTGGTGCTGCGCGGCTGGGGAAGCTGGGGGGGCCGTGCGTAGCTTGAACAAGTGCCGTGTGTAATTACTGCTAATGCTCGGGGCGGTGCGCGGCCCTCCGCCGCGGGGCGGCCGCGCAACTTGCTCTCCCCATGGCCCTCGCTGCGAAAGGGCGGGCGGTGTGGGCTCGGCGGGCCGGGAGGGCGGCTCGCACTCAGGGAGGGGGCAAAGGGAAACTTCCCTCTCGGTCGCAGGTAGGTCGTGTCGGGATCTTCTGCCCCCGGAGGGGATCCCTTTCCTGAAGTGACGTGCGTGGTGGCGGCGGAGGTCACCTCCTGCTTCTCGGTGTGACGGGCTGGCTCACCGCACACGCGTGCTTCGTATTCAGTTTTAAAAACACTGTTTTATTTATATTATTATCACAATCATAATAATAATCTTTTTTTCTCCCCCTCCCCACAGAAATTGATCACAACGAAAATAAGATTAGCAGTGCTGGCTGTCCCCGCGGTAGGCAGTGGAAAGTGCGGGCTTGGCCGCGGGAGGCGGCCCGCCGGGCGCGCAGCCCGGTACCGCGGGTCCCTGCGCGACATTGCACGGACGGGGGTCGGCATCTCTGAGCTCTGCCGGGCCGGAGCCTTCGTCGAGAGGCATTGCGGCTGCTGCTGGGATGGGGAAAGGCCGAGCGGGCTCGCTAGAAACTTTCCCGGGCTGGGGCAGCGCAATGGGAAGCAGGGAGCGGGGCATCTGCCCGCGGGCCACCGTGAACTGCGGGCGGTGGGGCCCAGCTTGGGGCACGAACCCTTGTTCCTCCTGTGCTTCCCTCCTCTTGCGCACAGGAGGCAAACCCGAGCGAGCGTCCCTTCTGACCTGTGATTGTCTCCCAGCAGAACTGGGCCTGCCCTGAACGCCACAAGAGATGCGGTGCGACCTTGCGCAGCGGTGGGCACGGGACGTAGCCCGGGCAGCAGCTGAGAGGTGTCCCCGTAAGGCCTCGACATCTGCGGTGGCAGCCCCTACAGCAAACGGGGACACTTGGCCCCAGCCATGCCTGCGGAGAGGTCATTTAGGCGCCAGGTTAGCACGGCGCTTTGTGGGGGTTTTTTTTTAGCTCAAACTGATTTTTTTATTTTTCCAAACTGTTGCTTTGCTTTTCGTCTATAAAACAAAACAGCTTTTTTTTTTTTTTTAATAGATTTGAGGAACCATTCCATTTTCGTGGTGGTTCTGGTGGTTTCTCACTTGTACTCGCTCATCTGTCACTCAAACTGTGGAAAACGTAGAGAGGAGGAATATTCTCCTTTCTAAGTTTCCTCCTTAGAATTTCTTCTTAAAGTAATTGCAATTCCTATTATGTTCTGCAAAGGTCATAATCAAAAATAGTAGAGAAATGCATGCAAATAGTCGAGAGGGCGTGGATTAAAACCCCTTCCCTACCGCCACAGGCCATGTCAGATGGAGAACATGGTGGAGCTATTTTGTGGATGGAGACATTTGAGGGAGTGGTTCCAAATCGGCGTTTTATGATATCTGGGGCCCTTTCTGATAGCCAAGAAGTTCGGGAAAGGCGTTTCGAAGTTAGCGGCTGTTTCCATAGCCGGGTTCAACTTGGTAACACTGTTGGTAACTCTGGGGCTGCAGCGTTTTGACCAGCTGCCTGTACGCTGCTCTCACCTCCCCAAAAGCACGCCGCTGGAGCAGGACGAGCTTAGAGTTTCGCCCTGTCCTCTGGAGACTTGGTTTGGGCGTTTCGGGCCAGTCGCACGTGGCACACGCAAAAGCTGGTGCGGGTTGTGCGGGTTTTGCGGGAGGCAGCGCGGGAAAGGAGCGGTGGCGCACGGTCGGGGGCTGCGCGCCTCTCCGCGCCCACGTAGAGATGAGCGTGAGGTAAAAGTGCTCAGTCTTCATTACGTCGTTTGATTGCGTAGGCAAAAGCATGTAGCGCCGAGGCGCGCACATGGCTCCAGTGCACAGCGCAGGAGAGCTGCGGTGCGGCCCCTGGAAGCTCTCCCCCGTCCGCCTCCCGAAATAAACCATTTCAACAGCGGCGGGTAATCGAACATTAGCTTTCAATTAATTTCACTCGTAAAGTAATTTAAACTCCTTCGCGTACTCAGTCCATTTTCCCCGTCCCCCTGGGCTGGGACCGGGCGTGCTGGCTAAATTCACCCGCACTTTGAGATGAGCTGATCTTTTGATTTGTTTTTTTCGGATTTTTTTTTTTTTTTTTTTGA